TAAACCAAGGAAAACTTGATAGCAAGATAGAGATGGAATTTGAGGGCCCCAAGAACAGTGCCATGACTTCAACTTACCTTTTAAGATGCAAATATACTATATAAAGTTTTGTAATTATATTCTTTTCAATGGATAATATAGCAGGTCGAACAAATGTTAATAGCTAATATATTGAATTATTGATAAGGCTAATATAATGGGAATATAAAAAATTATTAGATTTTATGTTAGTAAAGACATTGAAAATAAATTATTCATTGATGACAAACCTAAACCCTAAAAACAAAAGTGGGGCCTTAATTGAATATTGATATATAATTATGGTTTGCAATTTTAAAAACAAAAGTAAGCTTGATTTGACCTTGGCCTACAATTTTTTCTTGGGGCCATGAAAATAAAAGTGGACTTAACTAAACAAGGAATTAAAATTTTAGTTGAGACATGCAAACTAAATTCGGTTTAATTGGACTTGGGTCTAATAGTTTTATTCGAGTTACTAAAAATAGAATCAAACTCAATAAAACAGTGGTTCAAAATTTTTATTTGGGACCCTACAAGTAAAATTAAACTTAATTGAACCTGCACCTAAAAACATTATTTGAGACTATAAAAATTTGGGGCCCTAGACAGTGGCTTCAATGGCATAGCCATTGATCCGGCCATCTTAGATGAAGCATGGGTAACCTCTATTTATAAGAGGCACATTTAGGAGAAAAATGATCACTAAGAGGAGCGGCCATGTACATAACATTAGCCTCTCCATGCACCCAAAATCTCATAGCTCAATGGTGGATAGAATCTAAGAAGGGTTCATGACATGGAGAGATTGCGCCATGAACATACAACAGGTTGCCCACGGTAGCCCCCCAGTACGCCCCTAGATTTCAACCAATGTTCTTCCACACACGGCTTTTTCATTATAACTTTGATGAACATCCTTCGTGATTTTCTTGTCTGGCCATCTGAAAATTGTTTAGCCAAATGATTGTAGGCCTAATTTATTGTAAGGATCACTTAATATCTTATATTCCCTACAAAGGAATTATCATATCGCTTTGCTCCCCCAAGATTCATAGTTGGCCATCATGTCTGACCACTCATGCAATGACACATTAAATTGTAGGATGTAACATTATAGAGATGCTTCAAAAAATGCAAAAATTTACAAGAATAATAATAAGCCCTTGTATGGCATGAGACCAAAGCAGACTAGTTTTCATAGCTTGACTAGCCCAAACTTCTTTTAGCAGGTCGAGGTATAATAGGCTAATCCCAACACCCATGACGTGATGCCCATGGCATAACCTAGAAGTTTCCACCAGCTCCCAATATGGCATACTTCAGAAAAGTTAGCCACTTTACAAGTCCAAGTTGTAGGTTGAACTTACTTGTAGGAGGGGGGCCGCTCAATGTCATATCATCTTTTGAAGTAGCAAAATCTCTAGTTTTCAAATTTGATGCCAACATCTAGAGGATTGATTCCTTCTTCACTAGATGTGATTCATAGTAATGCCTAGATTTGATTCCTATGGTTATCTTACCTTCCCTGTTTCTATATATTCATCTTATTCCTTCAACAATTTTTAAGCCTGTTTAGAATCAGAGCCCTATCCCACATTCTTTGATATCAAAGCCCAGAGCCCTCTTTGCTGCATCATAATCATTTGTAATGGACCAAATGGCTGACATCTCAAGCATTATGCTTAAAATATTACATTTTATAGAACCTAAAAATGCTTACATATTATGAAACATTGAAAAATCATAAATCCATCAATTGCCTATTTTTGAGAGGGGTTCACCTTCAATAAAATTGAATTGCAAGAAGTCCCTCCAAATTTGAGTAGTGCTGGCATGCGGCTTGTGAATGATCTTGTTTTTTTTTTAACCAGATTGTAACTCTTAGTAGTGTCGTTGTTTTGTGACTGGTGTATGGATGTCTTGTCCGTATTACCATTATGCTCTATATTTTTCATTTACATAAGTAAAATTTTTGCCTTCTATAAAATAAAATTATTCTGTGAAGTCTTCTGCCACCTCTGGTCTTGTTGTACATGAAGCCTTTATCAATATGAAACTTTAATATAATTAGGAAAAATGCACAAAAAGAATAAACACAACGAGCGCAAATTATGCATGACTTGGCTTGGTTTCAAAGTGGGACTGACTTGTATCATTTTTCAATCTTTAGAAATTTTTAATAAGTTGTGTGACTTTAAATTGTCATTTATGCTTATATTCCAGTTTGTCCCAGTCTTTTAAGCCAAACTTGGACTAAGACAACCGATCACCAAGTTTAATTGATCTTTAAGTATTTTTTGGTCTTTAGTCATCTCTTTCTCTCTCTCTCTCTCTCTTTTCTTTTAGATAAAAGAAGAACGAGTGACAATCTTAAGGACAAGATATCCTCAAAAAAGAATAATAGTAAAATAATTATCAAAGAAAAGTCGTAAGGAAAAGAGTTAACATCGCCTTCCAATTCGTTGGCGATTTAACAAAGGCAAGCCTCTAAAACTTTTTGTGGCTTTGGTCCAAAGTGAAGTCATGAAAAAAAAAATTTCCCATATTAATTCGGAAGAAAGATAATGATTATTGAAAATTCTTGCATTTCTCCCCATTACACCAAAGAATTTCCACGAACACAATTTCATAGTACCTTTGCTTCCTCTTTAGTTCCAAAAACCTCAAAACTTAATTTGCCACATCTTTTTCATAGTAGAAGGACAAATCCAAGCCTCACTAGTCACCTGGAATAAAGTATTCCACAAACCTCATGCAAATGTGCACAAACTAAAAAAATGAGCATTTGACGCTCCACTGCTGAAACAAGTAAAATAAATATGGAGGCTCAAATATTTATAGGGCTTTCGTACCCGCAACAAATTATTAGCGTTCACTCGATTAAAAACGATAGACCAAACAAAAGCCTTGATTTTTTAGGGGACTTTGACTTTTCAAATAAATTTGGCTAAGGAGAAATACCCTTCTTTTTTAGGGCTAACAAGATATGAATAAAAAGATCTATCGAAGAAAATGCTTGAATTATCCTTAGTCCAAATTCTATTATCATAAGAAAAACAAGGGTGGAAATTATAGAGAAGGTGGAGCAAAGAAGTCAAATCAACTGCTTCTCGATCGTTGAGATTTTTAAAGAAATGAAAATCTCAAGAGTGAGAATCTGTCTCCACAACAAGAAAAGTAGATATAGGAGCCTTGTGTGCTAGAACAAATGATGAAGGCATGGAAAAACATTATTAAAATATGAATCCCCAACCCATATATCCTTCCAAAATAGAACTTTAGAACTATCTCTAACTTTATACCGAGTCAAAGGAAGAAAACAAGGGTTAATCTATGAAATGAATTTCCAATGACTCATATGAGTTACATTATATCCTCATTTAGTATCTCACCCATTCCTCTAAGGGTCATACTTACTCCTAATTACTTTATGCCAAAGGGAGTTAGGTTTGGAACCTTCATAACCATTTACCTATTAGGGAAATGTTTTTAAACACCAAATTACTGAATCCCATCTCCCTTTGTCAAACTGTTTCCCAACACACTAAATGAGATGCTTGTCATCTCTCATCCCAAACAAAAAAAAATCCCTCGTCATCTTTTCTAATTTCCTAGTTTCCTAGCTACTGCTACGGGGATTCGAAATAGATACAAATATTGTAAGGGGATCAAGCTTTTACCAAAGTAATCCATCTTTCAAGAGAAAAATATGTACTCTTCCAACATCCAATCTTTTGCTAATTCTTTTAACTACCAGATCCCAAAAAGACAATGATCTCAGGTTTTCCCCCAATGGTTACCCTAAATAAAGCAAAGGCCATTCATGAACAACACAATCTTCATCTAACTCAAATTCTTTGATAATCTCATCCTCCAAACTAATGTCTATAACTCTGCTTTTAGAGATATTCACTTTCAAACCTAAGAGTTTGTCAAAGATTTCAATTGAGAAAGGACAACATTTTGAAAACACTCCCTTTTATATGACTAGGAAAAATAGTGTCATCAACAAACAACAAATGTGACACAGGTACACTCTCACTAGTCACTACCTACTCTTTCATCTTTCTCTTCGAATGTGGGATAAGCCTAGACTTTTTCTTTCTATGTCCTAGTGAATTACCGAAGAATCTAGGGTGGGGCCTTTGGCTTTCTTCTCTTCATCTATGTTTTCTTTGTTTTCAATTTCCAGCCCTTTATAGGTCTCTTTTAAGCCTATGATCAAACCGAATGCATTTCTGGTTTCCCTTAAAAACTTAGTGAACAAATCTAGTTTACTACCCTTTCAATTTTTCTGTTGTAGCTCACCAAAAGGACTCCAAATGGCCAAAAATCAAGGTCCATGAGTACTTTTTAGGCGTTTAAGGTTGCCAATATTCTACTTCTCTTCTTCTAGATCTAGAGTTTGCCTCGTGCTGCATTAAACATATGCTGAAGCATGCGAAGTCGATCATACCTTTTGTTTTATCGGCGAAGGACATTTAGGCTTTTCTAATATGTAGTATATACGGATTTTCTTGCTTGTTTGAAAGTTTATAATTGGTTTCATGGATCAGCCTTTAACCCTTGGCCAAGGAACAGAGATATGACTTAATCGTTCAACAGCCATCTTTTTGGCGCTCTTTCTTGTGAACATAATTTCTCCTTTTTTTGGACTGTAGTTGGTCAATACACAGATTGTTGGGCTGGTTTTGTTCCATTGAAATTGGTGGACCAGACCACGTGTTTGACTTGTGCCTAAATGAGTTCATCATCCCTTCAATTGTGCTTGAGGAACCATTTGGTAGCCTTTCATAAATCTTCCTTTTGTGCAATAATCTTGGTTACAATCCTCACAAATTCACATCTCTTTTCCACTCTTTATGTTTGTTCACTTCGTTATTTTCATGACATTTCCTCTTGGTCTTGATAGGTTTATAGTTCTGGTATGACGTGGACAACTAGTCTGATTTGAAATAGATCAGCTGAAATGACTCCTCCGTAGACCATTTCATTTTTGAAACAAAATGAGTGTGTTGAATGTAGTTAGGAGTTTAGAACTACTCGATCAGATTATTCCTAAATAGGTTTTGGTATTACCAACATACTTTGCTTTGAATGACAAATGCACTCGAGCTAAAGGCTAAAAGAAGCATAATTGATTCATGCTAACTGCTCTTAGTAATTGAATGAGATCCGTGGTTTTAGGTGGGTTATGAACATACCAGTTAGGATATTATGATCATGCACTTCTGGTTCTTTTGTTTTACTTTTTGGTGGTTTACAGCGACATGATCGGTTCTCGACTCCTTTATTCTTCAACTACATATTATTCTCCTTCATGCAGTTGTGGTGCTTGCGGATATGACCTAAACCTGAACTCCTCTACTCGCAACACTTCCACTATTGGTTCGAAATATGGAAAATCAATGAAGAAAGGGATCATATCATTCCTCTACATTGATGAGAGCAGATTTACTCAGGCTGACGAGTTCCAATGTGTACCATCCTTCATCTCCAAGCACTTGCGTGGTTTGTTCCGCCGCAGAACCAAACTTTTGTGTCGGAAGTGTGGTAACCATATTGGAAATGCTTATGATGATGATACATCTTACCCACTTGTAACAGACGGATCAGATTCAGCCTCGGGCAGTGAAATCTCTACTCACAGAAAATATGATGTCAGAATCCGCGCCTTGCAACCTTCCTCTTCTGTGGAATCTGGCCTTCCACTCGCCGTGTAACGTTCGAGTGTGCTTTGTATGTGTCCTGTGAATAGCCTTTGGCCTGCACTTTCAGTGTGTGATCATTTCGTAGCATCAACATCCAAGTCAAAATTTGTTTTGGGTGGCTATATATATCGATTTTGCAAGTCCTTTTTGATCTGTTGTGCAACTAAAAGCAACGAGGCAGAAATTTCACTTGGAGACTTGTGTACAGCAGTCCTCTATGTAACTTGACTTGATCCTCCCCCTTTGCTATTTATTTTCATGTATCTGTCTGTACATGTAACCGAATGTTCATTTGTACAGAGGCAGTTCCCAAAACAGAGTTTTGAATGAAGTTGTGTGAATTCTGAAGGGTGATGAATTAATAAGCAGACTTAGCGCAGCCATTTTGGGCAAATAAAGTCAAACATTAGGTTTGTACCTAATTTATCTTTCCTAGACCCTTATTAATGGAGACTAAACTAGATGTTATTTATTTATCTTTCACTTAATGCAGATTCCCAGAAACCGGAAACTAAAAACAGAATTGGCTGTTCGGAAGGTATCTGATAGCTGAGCAGGGTTTTGGGTGAAATCTTTATGACATTGTCTCTTTGTTTATGAAATCATAAGCTTCCATTCACCGCAGTGCCACCACTTAAGGCATTACTAAACTGAATCACCATGTTTTACCTGATGCTCTGATTTGTTACTACAGTTAGGTGGAAAAGGACTTCTACCAAATTAGGGAATTTTGGCAATAAACTACAATGCCATACTCATCAATTTTTAAATGATTGTGGATAATTTTTGATTAGTGGGCTCCATAAACTTTTGGTAAATATCTAATTGTTGTGATTGTGACACATCATTTGGTACATGAATGTAGTTCATACATCTGTATTCGAAAATATCAACCTGAACATGTGCTCTGTTCATCTGGAATTATGAAAATGCTTAATGGCAAAATATGTACAGGTACAGAGAGCAAGTTGCCTCACAGTCCCTTTTACCTGTAGTCATATATATGTTCTTTTTGCTTAACAGGTGTGTATTCTGAAAGTGAAAGGTAATCAGTGCCCTATTGTTAAATACTACGCTTGTAAGTCATTTTCCTGTAAAATAATTAGCTACTTGGTTATTGACAATATCCTTCGATTGTAAAGAAAAAAGAAGAACTGGATGTAGAAAATGCTTGAGAATTTGATCAAGAGTCCAAACTTTTGGCCAAGGAGATACTTTTTACCAAAAGCAGGAGACCCGAGGCATTTTTGTTTGGGCTACTGATCCTCTGGTGCACATTAGAGGATAATGTCCCTATAACAAATTCTTAGAATTCGTTCTGTGAACGATACAACATCTACCCCTCTAAACAAAACAGCAGGGGAGCTAGACTCTGTTTTTTTTTTTTTTTTTAACCCTAAAAAATGCGAAAACGGGCTTCAACCATTCCCCTCTATATTTGCAGTAAGTTATGTAACCCCTACTTTTATTCATTTACATGAAATTCACTTTTAGTAATTTTTTTAAAAAGTATTCCCACCAACTTTTGTAATGTTTTTCCCATTGCGTTTGTTTGGTGAAGTTTTGCTGATATTCATAGCCTGCTAGGGAATGTAGGTGTAGAGATTGGTGCATGACCATATCCTGCTTGGGAGTCAAGTGGGAACTAAAGAGCTTGCCACTGATAAAGTCTACAAAACCTCATTACTGCAAACAATCCAAGTAGTTGTAGACTATAGTATATTTTACAATTAAACTAGATATTTGCTTTTTCTTTTTCTTTTTTGGATTGTATATTGGCCTATTCACTATAAGGTGGAGCAAAAAGAAATCTAATTTACGTTCTCCGAAAAAAATGGAATCTAATTTTTTTGAAATGCTGGATTATTGTTTAATATGATCTCGATTAAGGCATGATAAGCATGGAGCTTATAAAGGAAGGGAAAGATGACGGTACCAATAGACTGTTTCAAGTTTCGACTCAATCAGATGTGATTACGATCAAATGAAGTAGTTTCTGATCGAATATAAGGCCATGTTTGGTTAGCTTTTTGGAACTGTTTTTTATTTTCAAAATTTTAAAAATATTCAAAATCTGTTTGTTTAGTATTTTTGTTCTCAAAATTTTGAGAAAAAATGAGATTTGAGTCAAAAAAACAGAAAATAAGTTTAGCTTGTTTTCAGAGTATTTTTTGAAAATAAGGAGAACAATTTTGAACTTTAATGAGATATGCCCTTCGACCTTCGAGTCTCCTTAGCAGCAAATTTCTTCATTCTTTTTTTTTTACTTCTTCCTCTCTCTCATAATATATATTATAATATATTATATTATATATATGTATAATGAAATTGTCAACATAAAAATAAATTTTTTATATTTTTTTATTAATGTTTGAATTACTGTTCAAATCAAACAGGCCCTAAGTTTTTCTCAAATTTTTTAGTTGCTGAGAAATTAAAAAAAAAAAAACAGAAAAATATAAGTATGTCTAGATTCTCAGAAACCAATTAAACAGAAGATAGTGCAATCCAGTGTTAAAGATGGACCCAAACGAATCATGCCGTGTGGACTGTTCCAGCTAGAAATGAAATGAGCAGAAAGGTGAGAAAAGAATGGAGGAAAAGCTTCAAGCGTAGGCCTACAAATGTGTCTAAAGTCTTGTCAGAATCATTTATCTTTTGCTTTGGAAGTCTGGACAGAGAAATTCCAACACCATCAAAGTGTGACAAAGCAATGTGCTTCTTAAAAGTTGTTTGACTTGGGCTTGCAAGAGGAGCCCTGCCCTTTATTGTTTTAGCTACATTGATATCTTGATTCCTGGAGGGAGAGATAGGGTCTAGGGGTCCTCTCTTCCTAATCTCTTTCCTTTTCTCTTTTTCTTTTTCTCTGTCCACATTTTTTACAGTTGATTACACTTCGCCCCCTCAAACTATGAGGCATGTGTCACTTTTCCTCGTCAATTACAGAATTTCTCACATTTCTCCCACAAACTATGTGAATTGGTTTTCTATTGCTCGAAATCTAAATGTCCGTCATCTTTTGGACAAAAGATTACCTGATGAGACAAAGTGAATAAAATTACGTAACTCAATGGACAAAGTTTTGAAATAACTTTTTCTTAAATTATTAACGGACGTTAATCACTGGGGCAATATGAAACAAAATCACATAGTTCAAGAGGCAAAGTGACACAAAACTCATAGTTTTAGGGAAAAAAAAGTATAATTAAACCTTTTTACGTATTGGGTATATTACAATTTATACATTTAAAATATGCAACTAATTCCTATTTAGTTCTTGGAATTCCAATTGTAGCTATCAAATCTTTTGAGTTTTGATTGAGTTTCAATTTAGTCTTTACATCAAACTGTCCTAATTTATTATGACAGATTGCCTTTCCGTGACCAATACATTGCTTGGGCAAAGAGTTATATTTGTCCAGTGAAAAATCTTTTAAATATAGGATGAAAATATTATTTTATTTGTCTAAATTTGAAAAAAAAAAAAAAAAAAAGATACTAGGAGACGCAGAAAAATATTGATATATTTTAGAAATGGACAAATATACCCTTATGGGCAAGTGTTGTTATGTCTTTATGTTGGAATAAATTATTAAATCTGGATGGAAGGACTGAATTAAAACTTTAGGGATGAAAATTTCAGGGATCAAATAAAAATTATATGCATACTTTAAGGGTAAGGGTATAAATTACGCTTACATATTTTATTATCTTGTTTTTTATTTCTTAATCTAACATCTACATAGTTTTGTTACTTGAACTTAATTTGAGGACCTAATTTATCATTGTTGCTGGATTGATAGTGAATGTCAACGTTAATGGGGTCCAATGACAGTAATGGATTTAGTCTCAAAATTAGGTACACCAACATTATCGATGTTTAATAAACTTGTACAAAAAAAAAATTTTTTTTTTTTTGGGGGGGGGGTAGGGGGTACAAGTAAAAACTACAACTACATATTTTCAATACTTACAAAAGACTAAAACAAACCATTTACGAGGTTTGCACTACACCAGCTTGGCTCATGATACATTATCATGCTTTTGGCCGTTATTTAAATCCTTTTCCATGGTATGTCACATTATGATAACATTTTTAATCAATAATAATGGAATGAGAAGGATGTCACTTCATACCATTTTCAACATATTCCATTGAGATAACGATAATCGTGGATCGACAAAGCTAGAATTAAATGAAAACAGTACCATTTGATCGAATTTTTTGATAATACATCAAATATTGTTCTCATTGTCAATTTTGATGAAACAAAGAAAAAAAAACAATACTTTCAAAGGGTTATTTCTTCCCATGATATTGATTCTTTCTGCATAGGAAGATTACATTCTAATTTACGTCGTATGTTTTGTTTCAATCACGGAGAAACAAATCAACCGACACCGTTTCTTTCTTCTCTAATCAACCTCAATCTCATCATCATTCTGTCATAGTCATTAAGGTTATATGTCGTCTTAGAGACCGAAATAAAACCGAACTTAACTTATTTTCGATTTTTTCTTCTTCTTCTTGGTGGTGTTCGAGTTGGGTGGGATTTAAGTCTTGTCATTTTCGTCCACCCCATTAGAAACTTTTCTCAACATCCATGGTGGTCCTTTTGATAATGGTCCCTTACCCTTAGCTAGAGCCAACACAGGGGACAAACAGCCCCACAAAACCCCTCTGTTACAGTTTGAATGACACAACTAAACAATGGTCCCTTAGCCCATTTGCACATGCAAGCCAATGTGCATATGTGAGGATAAAATTGAAAATAATTATAAATTTTTAAATTGAAAAAAAATATTCTTAAGATCCAAATCATCTAGAATCATTACAATTTGATTGAACCTTTTTTGCTTATGAAAAAGCAGGGAAGATATTCCCCAACGAAGACAACTAGAAGACAAGCTTCTGTGCCATGTTTCTGTTAAATAAGTGCCTAACATGGGTTGGGGTTGAGAAGGGGGGGAGAGATGAGTTGTGGATGTCTTGTATTTTGTTATGTTTGCATACCCGCTCGAACAGAAAACCCAAAATTTTTTTAGCCTTAGTCCTTGGAGCACAGGGATGGGTTGATTTTCTGAGACTCATATTGGTATTTCATCTGAGTAGAAGTCCAATCTCTTCAAAGATTTAAAATATTACTTTCAATTAAGAAACAAGGTATTTAATTCTATAATTTTTGTAAATTCTAGGTATTTTGATTTACTCGCCCTAAACGAAGGTTTTCTAATTTTCATATTTAATATTAAAATTTTGCAACTACATTTCGCTCATAGATTTGGGCTTTGGCGCGTAACTATGTAATGTTGTTTGGTAATTTGTTTTTTCTTATTTTTGTTACGCTTATTGTTTACAACACCTTACTTATAGCGCATGTGCGCTCACAGACACAGAATCAGACAGAGAGAGAGAGAGAGAGAGAGTTTTACGCCCCTTTGCACATCCATTCTTTAAGTTTTACAAGAATGATACACTCGAGGACACAAAATACTCTTCCAAACAACATTTTATGAGTTGATTGATGATCAAGATAATATTTTTTTGACTATGCAGTCTCCATAAGATATAATTCTCTATTCACAATGAGTCTCCACTCACAAATGTGGGGGGTGGTGGAAGATAAAAAGCTAGAATGTCTCTTTTCTATACAAATACAAACCCCTTTATTCTTTGGTCCTCCTCTTTGTCAGAGTTCTTATCCAGCCATATCTCCCCTTCACTCTTTCCAGCTTGCCACCCACATGACACACATTTCCTTTACTACTGGACCTCTTCCATCTGATGAGCTGGAACAGGTGACCAATCCGCTTTCGCCACCTAAGCGATGCGGGTGGTTTCGCATGCTCTACTACACTCTTGGCCCCTCTGGCCTCCTTGCTTAAGCTGTGATTCCAATTCATGTTGTTGCAGTGCTCAAGGGAGACCTTAGAGACTGTCCCCTTCTCCCATGAGGCAGCACCATTATCTTCAAATTTGATTGATATAAAGGAATCTAAAAAGCCAAACTTTGAAATTTAATCATAACTTTCCAAGAAAAAAACATACTTTTTGTCATATGAAAAGGTAATGATATATGATCCCAACTCATTTTTTTAGGGTTTTTTTTTTTTGGGGGGGGGGGGATGAATTTAATAAAAAATCACCAAGAAATGTTAAAATGTTTTGATTTACATGCTACTATGTTATTATTGATAAAATTATTCTGGTTACTAAGGTTTTTTTAAACAATGTAGACATAAGCTAAGTGACTAATGAGAAGATGACATTAAAGTGGATATGATAATGGGCCAAAGGGGTCCCTTTTAGATTTCTCACAGCACTGACCTGCATAATCTTTATAATAAAGGTCAAAGAAAGCACTGTTACTTACTTTGACAAATTTGATGGATGATCTCTTTGTGATTTGTAACTGCCTCATCCATCATGTACATTTCTTTTTTTTTTTTTTCTGGGTGGTTACTATGAATAATTTTGTTTCAAGATTTTCTTAGATATCGAGTTGTTTGTAAATAAACTTACGTTTTCAAAAAAAAATCCCAACTGTTGATAAATGTCATGTGGGTCTCACTTCCGAAGGAAAAAGAACCTAAACAATCTGGGTATAATATAAATTATCGTATTGACTATATAGATTTAAGATTTTAGATTGATTTGAGTTGTAAATATGAATATCGGGCATGCCTTTGATGGGCCCTTCTAGTTTCCCCCATACCAACTAACTCAAATTATTTATCTATGATTTGAAAAATGCCATGTACACATACTTTTATCACTTGGATTATATACTTCTCACAACTCGGTTGTTCTTGAATTCTTTCTCAATTTCATTCACAAATGGTGATTTAATTAGTTCCTTTATCACCAAAAAATGGGGAAAAAAAACTTTGCAAAACATTTCTCCTTATGAATGGAAGTTTCAAAAACAGAAAAATTGAACTCCATAAGGAGAATATTAGAATAACTTTTGTTACCTTCATGACTGGCAGAGGCATCAGTGTCGTCGTTCTCCTCCGATTTCCTGTGCCGGATATCGAGGCGATTGAGCAAGGAACTCAGAGCAAAGATCTTGGGGATGGTGATGGAGGACTTCCTGTTGGTGAGACTGTAACTTCTAAGGATGCTTTTGGTTTGGTGAAGTTGGCCTTGCTTTGCAGCCAATATGAGAAGCCTCTCATTCAAGCATAGAGCACACACCCCTACAACCACCTCTTTGGGATGGAAGTAACAGCATGGCTCATCTTCTCTGCAGTCCTTCATGTCAATCACAAGAGAGAGAGAGAGGGAGAGAGAGAGAGAGAGTACAAAAGATGAAAGAGTGTGAATGTAATATTTATATGGTGTTATATATAATCATAGAAAGATATAGGGTATGTTATAAAGCATGGTCCACCAGCATTTACCCAATACATACAAGATGTATGTGTGTGTAATCACTGTAATGCTTTGAATTATTATTAGTTTTTTTTTGAACTGCTAGTGCTTTGAATGGGCAACCGGACACATTTGCACTGGTAACTAAATTTGTTTTTCCAGCATTATTCCGAAAGTTACAATCCAGTCGAGTCAAATTACATGCATACAAAACTCTAAAAAAATTTGGATCAATCCTAACTTCTTAGAACCTTATTCAATTATACATTTTTTATTCTTATCGAAAAGTGATTTAGTCTTGAACTTGACTGGTTTTAATCATAACTTAACCCGATTAAATTATAATTTTTAATTTTTTTTGGGTTTAATATCGAATTTAGTGCACCACCCATAGGGTCAACAAATATTGGCCACCAACCTATTCTGCCACTGTAACGGTGTTGACCCATTATTGTAGGGCAATTTAACATTAGGTAAGTATTGAATGCTTAATTATCAGCTTCGCCACAGTAGGTATATGAGTATCCTAATGAACAAAACAAACTGGGTAAGTTTTTTTTATTATCGGTTGACCATGACCATTACCATTACCATTACCATTACCATGACCTTGCTAATTTCAGTTTAACATCTTAGTGTTTTTTAAAATCAGTAAAGCAGTCAAGTTAGGCCATTGCTGGGTCAACTTGAGCGGACAAGGAATTTTCTTTTTCCACCTAATTAGAAAAATACTAGACAAAGAGTTATCAATAATAATAATAAAAAAAAGATCTAATTTACTAATCTCTAATTCATCATAACCATTAAATTGATTGTGAGTCCCAATAAATACTGGGTCTATTGGCAAGTCAATCAAATGATTATGAATGATTAAGTCAGTAAATTAGGTTCAAATAACATTGTACGTTATCAGTAATCCTCGAGCAATACTATAGGGACCAAACAATACTATAGGGGCCTAATTCATTACAGTCGTTAAATTAATTGTAAGTTACAAGGTTTGATGGAGCTCGCTTGCAATCCAATAGTTGTAAATAATTAGATTCTTAAATTAGGCCATCAAATTTGGTCAAAATAGCATTTTCCCTAAATATGAGAACCATCATTTTATACAAAAATATTACAACTGAATGTAGCCCATCCTTCCCAATAATATTACATAAAGTTAACTACACAGCCCCCTAAATTATGTTATTTGTGTTAATTAAGCCCTTGAACTAAATTTTATTCAATTTAGTCACTTAACTATACAATTTAGTTCACTGTGACTCTTTCGTCCAAATTCACAATTAATTTTTTTTACGGAACTAGGGTAGTGAAAATCATACACGTGAGGGTTGCTGTTAAAGTTAATAACTAATTTGAACGAAAGTGTCATATTAAGTCAGATTGAATAGTTGAGAGGTTAAATTAACATAAAAATTAATTTAAGAACTTAACTGACATAGTTTAAGGTCCACATTTTTAGTTCAAAATATAATTTTTTGGGAATAGGTTACAAAAAAAAGAAATTAGTATCGGTTATAGGTGATGATGCACAAAACGTATTTATGCACCACCTGCTAAATATTTAATGCAGTAATACATGATGAGAGTCAACACAAACAAAACACAATTTAAGTGGTTCGGTCAAGGTAATCTATTCCACTATGAAATACTAGGATGACCTGAGTATTTTACTGTTCAAGGGGTGTAGAGTGTTCAAATGTGAATGACATGTGAATGTGAGAGATGCCCCCCCATTGTGTAAGTGGAGCTTACAATTTATAGACGCTTCCTAATAGATTGAGGCGTCTTTCTTCTAACAGGCGAGACAATTTCGTGAAGGTGGTGACGTGACTATCCCAAGGAGATCCTCGCATGTCGGTTGTGAGTTGTGAATTGAGTTTGTCGTGGTTGACCTAACTCTCTCAAGAAGGCGCGGTTGAGTTGATCTAACTTCCTCCCTTTTGTGGTGGGCTTAACCTGCAGTCCTAAATTAGACCTCTGAGCTGAGACTAATCTATAATTTTAGATATGATCCGTAATTCTGGGCCTGGTTTGAGCCGAACTCATCAATAGGAATAGCATTTTAGGATTGATTCCAAAAAATACAATTCTTGGAAGAACCTTATGTTATTTTCATGATCGATCTTAAAAATTTAAGATATATCACAATATCTATGATTCTATGATCAATTTTAAGAATTTAGGAGCGTACAAATACCCAATAAATTATACTTAGACCCTAAAAAGTTGTATTTTTTTTAGATGTAGTACGAAAAAGTTTTCAGTACCATAGACTTATCTTGAAATTTTGTATTCTCTTTACTTCCTCTTGGTAGACAATAGAAAACATGGAACAATTTCTTTGTTTGTTAATATCTTAAAAATACCTTTTAATTAGGGGTGTCAATTAGAACCATCAACACGGACACGATATGAATTCGATACAGCTCTAAAATTAATACAATTGATAAATACATATAATAAATGAGTTGAATTAATTTTGATACTTCTAACATATTAAATAACTAGTTATTGTCTGTTCTTGAAGACATAAAGTAATAAAAAATAGTGAACAATAAACATAATTATATTCATATCCAAAATCAAATCACAAACATAGAGGAGAGATAAATAAATTTAAGCATCGGTTGCAGTGGGGATGAGAGGTGGTGGGCAGCAATGGTGGTAGTAAGAGACGGTGATGGTTGTGGTGGGTGACAATGACCGTGGGGGCGGCGACGGTAGAGGTAGTGGTGGTGGGGGTGATGGTGGTAGAGGTAGCAGTGGAGCGGTTTCAAATATTATTTTTTTTAAAGTACTTATGAGAAATAATTTTTTAAATTACTTTAAAAAAGTCACTCTAAACACACCCTTAAGGGTTTATTTTTTCTATTAAATTTAGGGTGTTAATATTAACCGTTAAATTAATTTTAAAGTAAAATTTAAAACAATTTGAACCGCAAAAAGTAAAATTCATTTTATTTATCTTTTGAAATTTGAATTATAAGCTACTTTATTATATAGATTTTTTTTGTGAGTATTAATACGAATTACAATGATATGACCCAAAAATAATAAAATGACATGACACGATTAACTCCCTACTTTTAATGTTTAATTTTGAGAAATCCATGATAGGTGGAATGTCGCATACTTCTTGAGAAGTTGGGACAAATTCTTATTAAGGTTTTTCAGTATAATTTCAAGTTGCAAAGGAGGTTAGCTCTAAAAAATTCATGTACCCTGCCTTCAGTTAGGATTCCATTATCTTTGTATACAGGGATGGAGAATTCCGAGACAAACCCTTTGGACAAGTATTTGTCAATTTTTATTTTTTTTTGAAAAAAAACTCTTTTAAAAAGAACTATATAATTGAAAAAAAATAAAATTCAAATCGGGGTTGAATTTTTCAAATTGGGATTGAATATAATTGAGAAAAGGATTGTTAAACGACTATATTTTAAAAAAGTCTCTGGAATGTGAACTCAACTCTCTCAACTGATTGATGATGATGCATGTCTTTGTGTTGCCCAATTTCTAGAATCCTCAATAGTAGCCTGAAAATGGTCTTGACCAATGACAAAAGCAGCCCACGAAGACCGAACGTCAAGGTTCAAATCTCCCCATGGATGATATCATTATGCTAAGATAAAACGATTCAATTCTTATGACAATCAAATAGAGAAAGACTTCAATACTATGTTCAATATCCGATTTTTGTGCACTCGTGCACCACACAAATTCATCATCAAGCCACGCCTAATAATACAAACTATTTTGTATGTGTATGCGGGCATGCAAATGTGTGTGGCCGTGAAGAGAGAGAGAGAGAGAGAGTAGCATAAGTAGGGGAAAAAAGGGAAGAAGAAAAAGATGTAATGGAGTGTCCATGAAACATCCTGGAAGGCTAAAAAGTGATGTAGACAAACATAAGGGCACATGGAGAAAGGGGGTGGTGCTTCCATTTTGGTAGGCTTGTGGTCAAGTTCACATCATGGATCAAAGTTGGAGGTGGGTCTCCTCACATCACTTTCTTTGTGTAGTCTTCTCCAAACTTACCCCCTTTTCAACCAACTAAAAATCCTCTATACATTTTATGTCTATGCTTTTTTGAATCTTGCTTTCTTTTCTAAAACTTTTTTCGGGCCCTTGTGTTCTACCGATGAATGAAGAAAGCAACATAGATAATGTCATATTAAGGTGATTTGACAGCTTTTGGCAGATTGAGAGTTTTTCTTCTTCTTCCTCTTTTTTTTGATTTAATATAAGGTTTTAATTGTGACGCTAAAAAATAATTTTTCGATATCATATTTATATTTATATTTTTATTTATAAAAACGTGACGTGCGTAAAAACATGGCATTTATCTTCTCTAATTTTTTAAAATATAATTTTTTAATATCATATTTTTATTTTATTTATAACAATGTGATATGCATAAAAACGTGGCATTTATCTTCCCTAAATTTCTAAAAGTATTTTTTTTTATAAAAAAAATGCTTCTAAAAGCAATGAATAACCATACCCACAAGACTTCATAAGTCCCTTGAACTTGAAGAAAGGTTAGGTTGTGATTGGAAAGTGAAATCATCACCATTTAGTTTTTTTTTTTTTTTTTTTTGTAATTAAATCTCGTCAGGGCGAGGGAAAAACTTTATTGATAAAGCAAAAAATCGCATCATGATCCATCGTTTCCCTCATCTCGTTAGGGTCCTTTGTGATTTGTAAATCTAGTCCCGAGCCCTGAGAGCTATTTCTTATGGAGACGAGGTTGTTTGCTTAGAGTATCTTCCAATTGTGGACACCCCTGTTATTTTCTTTTGGCTATTTCGACCGTCATTGATTTTTAGTAGGTAATTTTAAACACAAAATCCGAAACAGATAAGAAATTACCAGGTTCGAGCAATAAACGAGAGGACTCGTTGGACCGTCAAAAAAAAAATAGTTTTGACACAATCCCACTAGAGACGACTATTTGACGTCCCTGATTGAGAGAGAGAGAGAGAGAGAGAGAGAGAGAGATGCGTGTATAGTTATTTTTGATGAACTGTGCGATGGGAACAATTGTGAGCAAGACAGGGGAGGATGACCGTTGTAGTACAAGCGCAGAGCAATGACAATACTAATCCGACGGTGTTTATAATTTTTAGGATAGTAACAGATTGGAAAAAAATAAAAAGAACGATAAAAAAATGATTGTTATGACAGAATATAGTGTTGTAAAATAACTAAATTAATCGAACATAAAAAAACTGAGATGAATGAGAACAATTTTAGAGAATATTTTTGGCCACTCTTTATTTTTATATGTTTATAGGCGAAGACACAGACCATTGAAGAATTAGCTTTCTAATTTTATTTGTTTTGTATCACTAGTCGTCCACACAGTATTTATAATATTCCCCACCGGAGGACCATTTAAATAACGCTAGGGTCGAAAATCTAATTTTAATAAAACTGTTGGGATCCTAAGTACTGTTTCGTTAAAAATCTTGCTAAGTTTAACGAAGGGAAAAAAAAGAGTACAGGCCTCCTCTTATTGAATACATCCGATCGAAATGATGATTGTTTAGTTTAATAAATTTTTGAGAGGCCGCATTCTGATTTGATTCACCAATTTCTTAAATATGTTAGACCATGAATCTTGACCAAATCCATCATTGACTTGTTTCATAAATGACTAATATTTCGAAATGATTGGATGATATTGTAATCATTGTTTGTTTAATTGATTTTCATGATATAGTCGTACAACCATAAGTAAACACATATCTAGTTTGTGATCGAGACTTGTGTGGTTCCAAAAGATAACCGACATCTGTACATCCAATTAACTGAAGACTTTGATCATTTGTATAAATAATCCCATATCCACCGGTCCGCGAAGAAACCACAATACATACTTAATCCTAGTCCAAGGTCTTAGAGTTGATGTTGAGTTGTATCATGTCAGCATGGCGACTCAAGAACATGTCAGGCCTAAGACGATAAGTGTTAATGAGACTTTTTTTAATATATTAATATTCTTAAATTTTAAATCAATTTTTATTTTGTATTTTGTGCTTAAATGAGAACAAAATCAAGTTTGAGAGAAATATAAAATGTGTTGGGTTTGTTTTTGTTTTTGTATAAGAGAGAAAAAAGTTGATACTTATTATATTATTTTTCAATAAGATAAAGTCAATTTTTTTGTGATGATATCAGACTTTTTTGTTCTTCAACCAATGGGTTAAACATTTGAGCCCAAATTTTAAAATTATTTTTGTTGGTTTAGTTTTTTTTTGTTGAAAAAAATTATATTGAATTTTAATTTTTGACCTATACTATATTATTGACTTCTTAAATTTGGGTCTTATTTATATCTGGGACCTAAAGTCCATACATTTTTCGCTCGCACTACTTATTAGTAGGTTAACTACAAATAATATATCTGATATTGCATAATTTGCTAGATACATTAATTCACCAATTGCACTAAGATATGATACTTTTAAACTAAAAAGTTTTTCACCTTCCTCTTGAGGCTAAAATGGATTTCTTCTATATATCTAATGATCTGACAACCATCGATAAGCTCAATGGATGGAATTTATTCGGGTACAATTGTTTCAAGACTTTTTCTGTGTATGTTGATTGATGCACAAAATTCATTGTATAAATGCTCAATCTGTTGGCCAAGACAATTTTATTTAGAGGTGTTCAAATTTTTGATCACCCGCAAATTCCGATCTTATCCTATCTTATCCGACCTTACTAATTGGCTACTCGAAAGAATCGAGCAGACCAATAGAAAATCTTTTGATATTTCGCAAAAAATCAAGTAAAAATGTGAAATATTTTCTTATATATGATGTATTGATTTTTATGACTTTCTTATTGTGTTTTATTGTAATATTTTATGTATTATTGAATTTATTGTGTTTTCTTTAGTATTATTGGTTTATTGTGTTAATTAATTGGTAAATGTTACTTAATTAAATTGTTAAAATAATTTAAAAATTAATAACTAAAAAATATGTGTTTACCCGACTTTCTACCCGATTGTTCCTTGAGAATATGGAATACTATAATTCTTAATCGTAGAATTAGATGAACACCCCCTGCCCTTGATTAGTCCTACCCAGACCCTGCATTGGAGTGGAGAGAATCTCGAGTATCGGTCCACTTTTTGTTTTAATGGATGTTACAAAAACTTGTATGTAAATTTTTTGTATGTAAATGAAGAGTAGCACCTTACACGGGTTATCCATTAATCGAGATTCTGCACAGCATCCGAAAAGGTTGGCTTTTCTCGATGATCATGATGAGTATAGTTTATCAAGGTCCTCAGAGAATGCCTTCCTTATAGCCTCTCTCTTGATCTTGAGAGCGGCAGTGACAAGGCCAGATTCGGGAGTCCATTGTTCAGAAAGCAATTTGATCTTTGCAGGGATCTCAAACTTCTCCAGGCGTGCAACCTTTGCTGCCTGTACAAGAAACGGGAAAAGATGAGAGTAAAGAAAAAAAAGAACTCAAGAATAGAGAGAGAGAGAGAGAGAGAAGCAAGGCCTATCTTTTCTATGTACATTAGTCCATCATGTGTGAAAAATAGCACCAAAATAGATAATGAGATATTCTAGTCAACATGTACAATTGTAAAAACTATGATCAAAACACAACTGAGCATATCCATATGAATAACACTGATCTACAAAAATAGCAACCCTTATTCTATCGGTCTTCTAAAATCAGGCTAGTTGTCAACATCAGTTTGTGAGATGTAACACGTCAATGAAAGAGTTTGTATCAAAATCTCAAGTAATGTCTTTCAGAATGTATATAATCTGGTTACTTGCTTGAAAATCATCTTATATCCTGTTGCACAATAAAAATTGACAATTTTCACAAATGAAGATGAACGTTCAGTTGCAGCTGTGGAGGCATGTGAAGTTAATAACCACAAGACGAATCATTCTATGGGTAAGAGGATAAACTGTTGATTTTCTTGTTTTCGCCTTCACCTGGCTCAACTTAGGGATTATCAGCAACTTTTCAGACTCAGTATATTTGACAATATCAAGCTCATAGTTTTGCAACTACAATTTATTTGTAACCTAGCAAATATCTTTAACTTTGAATGATCTCTAACCATCCCAGAAGCTGAAGTTGAGATAAGAAAAAAGAGAAACACCAACCTATCCTAGTTAAACCTGTTCTGCAATTCTAGCAACTAAGAATCAATTGTAAATGTGAGAACATCAACCTCAAAATGATTTTTGATAGTAATCTGATGTATTTCATAACAAGAATGACCTCAACCCACAGATAACAAAGAGTCATACCAGGAATATCTGCCTCATATATTCTCGCAGAATATCTCTAAATTTGTGAACTAATGCTTTTGTCATGGACATTGTACCCTAGGATTTACGTTGCAAAGTGTGGCAAAGACCATTGGCGTTTCCACAATGTCTACCACAATATATAAAACTTTAAACATGACAAGAACTTTATATTTGGATATATGATAATAAATGTACTTAACCAATTGTACTCTTATGTGAGAGGCTACCTCCTTAATTCTTTACAAAATCTAGAGGTGGCAAACCTATCTAATTTGGGGATATTCACAGCTGATAATGGCATGGAAAAGGGTTTTTTACAAAGCTCTTGCCCTCCCCCTTAGATCCATCATTGCTAGAAATATGAATAATTCATAATAAATCATAAATTCAAATTATACAATCTCCTTTAATCTCCAGATGCATTTTCACAATAAAACATGATGTCGAGTGTCCGACGACTCCAACCATTACTAGGTAGCCCACATGTGAACTCTGGCACCAAAATATTGCTCAAAATAATTTGCCACATAATTGTCGCTTTAAACTACTCCTCTGGTGAAGTTAGCAATTGTCATCTGTAACTCTTGACCTTGTATGCGAGCAAATGAATAACTATAAAAAAGATATTTTCGTGGAGGGACCAGCATGTAATCTTCAAATTGAGAAATGTCTAGGAAAATATTTAAATTAAAGGGGAGCTCATAACAAGCATACTCATGTGCCTTCTCAGCCGCTTTTGCTCGGGCATTAAATCTATTCTCCGCCATTATGCTGAAAGTGAAATCCTACGAGTGCACAAATAATGTAAAATTACCTTTACCAGTGAACCAAAAACTTCCCTTCACAGTTTCTTCTTTTAGGCATATTTGATTTCTTGCTTTGAAGCCCAGTCTTCCATCATAGGCTGTGAAGCCACCATGAGAGCCACAGAGCAACTACGAAAAGGATCAGCATGCAGCATAATATTGTCAACATAGGGACTAACAATGAGGGCAGTCTCAACCTGCAAAGAACATATCTATCCTGGTGAAAATCCGATCAACAACCATACAACTACTGAATAAGACTGAAATACGCCAAGAAGGATTACCTTCCCTAGAGAGACATATTCTCCATGCTGAAGTTTAACTATGTCCTTTTTCCGATCGATTATCTCAAGGCAGCCATTGGCATGAAACCGCCCAATGTCACCCGTGTGGAACCATCTCATTCCTGTCTCATCAACCTTTTGGAATAGAAAAGTGATAGTTCCTTAATCCCAGCAAACATTTTGCTTTTGGATATAAGATAATATAAAGGTTTAAACCAGTACCCTGTATGCTTCCTTTGCTTTCTCTTCGTTTTCGAAATATCCAACAGTAACATTCGGCCCACCAACAACTACTTCTCCCCGAGGCATTGGAGAATCACTTGTTAAGTACCCACCCCCAGGCCAATCTATCAACTAAAATGCAGAAAATGCGAGTTACCATGAGGCAGAGGTGATATATCTTCTCATCGAAGTAATGACAATCAAACCATCATTACAGGATGGTCATATTAATATTATAAGACAAACCGATAATGATAAGGGGAGAAAGATTACTACTGAATGGTCATATCAATTTCTAAAAACAAATGGACAATGATAAGGGGAGAAAGATAACTTCAGAAACTGCATACAGAAGGGGTGAGGGGAGAGAGAGAGAGATGAAATGAAATGTAGAACTGTGATCTTTCATCTGGAAACAATTTTCTTAATTCTGTAAATACAATCCATATTCCTTACTATGATCTTTCTGTGGAACCCAATCACAAGGAATGCATAAATCCCCAAGATAACATTTTACAAGCCACCCAAACAAAGGTTATCCCCATAAGGATAAAATGCCAATTTACTAACATATGGAGACAAGCACACAGAACAGATGGGTTAATGGATACCACATGGAATGATCAACATTTCAGATATGAAAATTTTATAAGAAATTATAGTGATGGTTAACATAATAGCAGAACACCTAACAAACGATTTATCCTTAGAGAAGAGCTTCCCTGAAATTCCATCAGTGCTTGTAGCGGGGTGAATGTTTGCTCAAAATTTACATGATGAAGAAAGGAGATGGAACACGTCCACCGGTAGTTTACCTTAATAAATGAGCAAGGAAGTGGAGCACCAACACAACCAACAGATGTATCATCGTATTCAGAAAACGTCCCACCGGCACAAGTCTCAGTGAGACCATACCCTTGACCTATTGGAGCACTGGAAACAATAATCCAGATAGAATGAATTTTTTTTTTTTTTTTTGACCAGGAAGGAGTAAAGTTTATTAATACATTTACAAATATTACATGGGGTGAGAAATCCACCAATAGGGAAAAGGAAAATCCTGAGAGAATGAATGATAACCATTCAAACAAAAAACAATAGAACAATGAAAAATAGAAACTGAATCTTACAAGATAGAGTGTCAGAGCATGGGACAGAATCATAATCATTAACGTTTATTAGGAAAAAAGGGGGAAAATAGTACTACTTCACTTGCTTCAAATATATTACTTTCATTTTTCATCCAACAAAATACTACTCTTTAACATTTGTAAGAACACCAGGGAGAAAGAAAACTGATCCATTGAACATTGAGAAAATGAGCACTCATGTGCACAATAAGCAAAATCCTAAGAAGCAGGGATATGGACACAAATATGACATGACAAATACATGTCATTTCTCTAAAACATTAAGACACAAGCACATTGAGGATACATTAAATAAAATATCCATATATATTATTTTTAAGATTCTGAGTTTACAGATTTGATCAAATTCGTATTTTCTAATAACCATGGGTTCTTAAATTTAGCCCACTTAATATTTCTTACAACCATGGCTTCACATATCACATACTTGGTCAAATTTATATTGTAGTCCACAGGTTTCTTTACTGTAAAAATTGACTAACAATTTGGACCAAATATGCATATATAGTAGCCAAAATTCTCTCTCCTCATCTGCAACATCATGTCTTTTTTTGATTTTTCGTCCCCGTCGATTCTACGCAGCATGCCCTTTGTCTTTGTCTTCCTTTTCATCATCATCGTCGACTTTATTTGGGACTCTTCGATCCAAC